GTCCCTAAGTAACGTTTCTCTGTCCCCAAGTAACGTTTCTGTGGCCCTAACTCTGTCCCTAATACAGAGCGGTCTGCCTCTCTTGAATGCTACTTCGATTCGCTCATCTCTAGTTATAAAACTGGGAGTCCTTATAGACAAGTTTATAATGTCCCAGTATTTAACAGGTTTCAACTCTTTGAAAAGTGGAATGGGGATTACAGCAGCCCTAGAGGCAATAGGAATATGGGAAATTTTCAAAGGGATTACAGAGGTCACCCCCCCCCCCCCCCCCGTGGGGACCTCCTCCACAGAGAACGTTTTATCATCAATCCTATTAGGGGAAGGGAGGACCAAGGCACCCACCAAACAATTACAAAGAACATTGGGAGAGGAATGCCCCACAGAAAGGGGAGGAAGGAGAGAGACCCCCAAATGGAAATTCTGGAAATCTAGGAGAATGTATCTATAATCTTAGCTCCCTTCCTTTGACAGATAGTGAAATGAAAGTTTTGGATAATGGTTTAAAGTTTGCTCCTAAAAGCTAATTTGAATAAATTTGAAACCTATATTGATATTAATAAATACATTAGGAAATTGAATATAAAAAAATATTTTGCGTCATTACCAGGCCCATCCTTGTCTGCGCATCACAATAGTAATTTAAATTTTGCCCATAGCGATCTAAAAAATAAATCTACATTTAATCCTGTGAATTCGAAAAATCTAAATCTAGAAGTCTTCAAACAGATGGTTGTGGATGACTTATATGGACTGAACTGTCGTAAGTTCAGAGAAGAAAAGATATTTCATCAGGGCTTATTATCATTAAGGAATAAGAAAAATATTGTGATTAGACCGGCTGACAAGGGTGGGGGGGGGGGAGGGTGGTTATCATGGATAGAAGCAGTTATATGAGGAAGAAATATCTCATTCCTATGTACTGTAAAACACCATTTATCTATATATTACCAAAAATACATAAGAGCTTTACAAAACCCCCTGGGAGACCAATTATAAATGGTATTGATTCCATTAATTCGAGGATTGGACAGTATGTTGATTTTTTCCTGCAACCGGTAGTAAAATATATGCCTTCATATTTAAAAGATAGTCAGGATGTGATTAACTTGTTAAAAGGGATGGAGGTATCTGAAGAGACCTTTTTGGTCACAATCGATGTGAATTCGTTATATACAAGCATCAAACACAATGATGGGATCGCAGCGATTAAATGGGGATTAAAAAACTACACAGACTTACATATTAAGCAAAGGAAATTGATTGTACAGCTACTAGAATTCAGTATAGGAAGGAACTATTTTTGTTATCAAGGGGGATTCTATGAAGAAATAAAGGGCGTGGCTATGGGCGCAAAATGTGCGCCCAGCTTGGCTAATATATTTCTAGCTAGATGGGAGGGGAAAGAAATTTATGGAAGACATTGGGAGGGATTAAAGATCTGGAAAAGATTTATAGATGATATTTTGGTGGTTTGGGATGGAACAGTGGAAAATCTTAATCTATTTTTAGAATATATTGGAAAAAATGAGTTTGGTTTGGGATTTATACAAAATATTAGTAAAGAATCGGCAAATTTTTTGGATCTTAACATTTAAGTTTAATAATAAATTATATTTAAAACTTTTTTTAAAGAGACCGATAGGAATGGGTATATCCCTACCAATAGTTGCCATCACCCACAGTGGATTGAAGGAAAACCGAAAGGGCAGTTTGTAAGGATTATGAGGAACTGTTCCAGATTAGAAGATTATATCGTAACATCGAAAAGCTATCAAAGAAAGGTTTATCCAAAAAGGGTATGACCCTAATAAATTGGAAAAAAAACAGGTATGAAATTAGTCAAAACTATTTGGGTGAAGGAAAAATTAAAAAGAAAAAAGTAAGAGATGTGGAGAATATTTTTAATAGATATTGGCAGATTTTAAGAAAAGATGGAATTTTAGGATCTGTTCTCCCGAAGAAACCGCCATTTATATATAGGAAGTATTTTAATCTAAGGAGTAACCTGGTGAAAGGTGTCATCTCACCCCCCAATCAGAAAAGTATAGTATGTTTAATCTAAAGGCTTTTTTCCTTGTAGGAAATGTAAGGTATGTAAAACCACAAATATAACAAATAGGAAAATTTTGGATTTTGAATCACATAATACTGGAGAAAAATATGTAGTGGAAAAATGTATAACATGCAGTACGAAATATGTAACTTATCTTTTAGAATGTCCCTGCAAACTCCAATATGTGGGTAGGACTAAAAGGTCCCTTTGTGAAAGATTGAAAGAACATGTAGCAAATATTATAAAAGGCAAAAAGAATCATAGTGTATCCAGACACTTCAAAGAATTTCACAAATCAGATCCTAGCGGATTAAGGTTTTGTGTGGGATCGATACAGTGGAGGCCCATTGGAAGGGTGGAAATAGAATACAGATGCTATCGCGGAATGAGACTTTCTGGATCTATCAGCTGCGTACTTTAAAACCAAGAGGTTTAAATACTGAATAAGATTTGAACTGCTTCATTTCAGATTTATAGAAGGGGAGTATAAAAGATTTAATGTAAAATTTTAAATTATATTTTAAATAATACATTTTAAGTTTATATAATGGTTTAATAATTATTTAAGAGTCATATTATTTAGAGTTTTATTTTATTTTAATTATGGGATTTGTTATGGTATTAAATTTATTATATCAAATAATCATATGATAAGAAGATATACCGTATATACTCGAGTATAAGCCGAGTTTTTCAGCACATTTTTTGTGCTGAAAAACGGCCCCCTCGGCTTATACTCGAGTCAACGTCTGCAGGGGGGGCGAGAGGCTCCGTCAAGGGGGGCGCGTACAGGGGTGGGCAAAGGGCTGCTGTCTCTTACCTGCTCCCACGATGATCCATCCAGGAAGCGCTGCTCCTTCCGTCACTCCGGCCACTCCCTCACTCCTGCCGCTCGGCTCCGCCTCCTCACCGGTGATTGGCCGCCAGAACTGTAGCTCAGGAAAGGTACACAGGCGGCCAATCACGGGCGAGGAGGCGGAGCCGAGCGGACCCACGAAAATCGAGTGAGGGAGAGGCCGGAGTGAAGAAGGACAGCTGACAGGTAAGTGTGCAGTGCAGAGGTGCTGCTGCAACCACATATGCTGGCTGCAGCAGCACCATACTGCAACAGGGGTCAGCAAGTGTCATTGGTGTCAGTGGGAGGAACAGTGCCGCATCATTGGTGTCACTGATACTAATGATGGGGCATTATTCCTCCCACTGACACCAACGATGGGCACTATTCCTCCCACTGACACCAATGATGGGGCACTATTCCTCCCACTGACACAAACGATGGGGCACTATTCCTCCCACTGACACAAATGATGGGGCACTATTCCTCCCACTGACACCGACGATGGGGCACTATTCCTCCCACTGACACAAACGATGGGGCACTATTCCTCCACTGACACAAATGATGGGGCACTATTCCTCCCACTGACAACCGACGATGGGGCACTATTCCTCCCACTGACACCAATGATGGGGCACTATTCCTCCCACTGATACCAATGATGGGGCACTATTCCTCCCACTGATACCAATGATGGGGCACTATTCCTCCCACTGACACCAATGATGGGGCACTATTCCTCCCACTGACACCAATGATGGGGCACTATTCCTCCCAGTGATACCAATGATGGGGCACTATTCCTCCCACTGATGCCAATGATGGGGCACTATTCCTCCCACTGACGCCAATGATGGGGCACTATTCCTCCCACTGATACCAATGATGGGGCACTATTCCTCTCACTGACACCAATGATGGGGCACTATTCCTCCCACTGATACTAATGATGGGGCATTATTCCTCCCACTGACACCAATGATTCCCACCCTCGGCTTATACTCGAGTCAATAGTTTTTCCCCAGTTTTTTGTGGTAAAATTAGGTACCTCGGCTTATATTCGGGTCGGCTTATACTCGAGTATATACGGTAAGCATAATATATTGTGGATTTAAAACGATTTATCATGTATTTTATTGGAGCCAGTAGAGGGCGCTTTGATCCATACTTACTGACTAGGTGAATTCATTTATTTATTTAAATTGGTTGTTACAGATTAGTATAGTTTAATTGTACGGAATTTATCTATAGATGGTTTTGAGATATGAGAGGGTTAGTGTAATCGAGATATATTTTAGTATTTATCATGGGATATAATATTAGATATATATATATTTAATTGTTATTATAATAAGGGTATGGTGTTTCTTATATATTCTGTCATTAATATTTAGTATTTTTATATATTCTGTCATGTTAATTTAGTGTTTTATAGATTGTCATGAAAATCCAGTTTATTTGCTCATGCGGTACCTGTAATAAGAATATTGGCGTGAGATGCCCTTAGTTAAGATGGCATTTTGCATCTCCCACCAGTAATTTAGAACCGAATAAGAGGAACCGCATTCTAGACATCAGGTTCCCTTGAGAGAAGAAGTCGGAAGTGACGAAACGCGTCAGTGTCGTGACGTCAGACGCAATTCCGGAAGGAGAGGCGCGGCCATCTTTGTTGTTGGAATTTGGCTGTGTGAATTACTGGAAGGATGGACGGTTCCTATTTCGATGTAAGATGTAAATAAAGTCTATTTGTTACCCTTTACACTCCACTGAACTTTCTGCCTTATGAGGAGAGGGGGAGATTGAAGTGGATACATCCGCAGGGAGGAAGCTATAATTACCATGGAATGCTTACATTGCTGGTTTAAGCAGAGTGAGGGTAATTGTATTGAATCCTACTAGAGTGTGGAACCACTAAATTGAGCACATTATCACAGATTGTGTAATTTGCTGTGGATTTATTTCACGAGTGGAAGTTCACGAATTGTTTATTTATAATTTGAAGTATTCAGTGTGACATTTATGTTTATTTAGTTTCAGAGAGTGCTGTGTGTTTTGATTCACTATATAGATATGTGTGTGTGTGTGTGTATATATATATATATATATATATATATATATTGTGGGAACTCGCTTCAAAATGGTAGAGCTCTTCAAAGCACACAGCAACTCGCTTCTTTTTAAGGGCCTTTTTGCCCAATTTTATTTAAAAGAAAAAAGTTCAACAAAAATGCTTCCCACGCAGGGGTATCCACCATCAAGCAAAACCAACAAAGATTCAGCCTCCTGGCTTGTACACAGTTCAATGTCTGTCTCCTGCAGACTCTTCCCAAAATTATGGCTACTAGCACACAGCTAGTCTGGCTTCCACCTCTCCTAGGTGGAGCCCACCTGTTTTCCAGGCAGTGACCTCCTGTCTTCCAAGTGGAGCCCTCCTGACTCCTATCTGCCAGGTGGAGCCCAGAACCATGGTTAGGCCTCTATAAAAAGGCCTGCACACACCTGTGCAATCAGTGTGCTGGAGGTTCTCAAAACACGGACCCCGGATTGGAGATTTCATCCCTCCCAGATCTCTTTGAAATCTCCAGGCTCCAGATCCCAAAACAAACTTAATGAATAAATGAGGAAACTGAAAAGCCAGTTTCCTCTGCAATACATCAACTCTCTGGAGCCCCTCAACCTGCCTGGTTGAGAATCCAGGGTTTTCAGCTTTATTTTGACCGTGACAGGACACCACACTGCCACAATATATATATATATATATATATAATATATATATATATATATATATATATATATAATTAAAAAGTTTTTTTGTTTTCTCACGAGTGGTTTGCATGAAATCAATATTTTTGATAAAGGGTAATGCACGATATACAGTTTCTTTATTTTTGAGGTATCCTGGATTTTCTCACGATATTTGGAAGATTGAATAATAACAGTTGTGGACATTTTGGATTATATTTATTGTGGACGCTTTGGACTTATTTTGGCCATTTACAGGAAGATTAGTATTGCATACAGGTTTTGTAGAAAAGGTTTTGATATTTACAACTATTTGGTGCATTATAAAAGATGATGCTATGCTGAGTAAATAGATACCAAACATGACATGTTTAAAATTGCGCATGCCCTGTGCAATGGTGACAAACTGCATACATTCTTAATATCCATAGGCAACGTTTTAAAAGTCTCCACAAGCTACCATTTTAGATTTACAGAGGAGGTCTAGTGTTAGAATTACTGCCCTTGATCTGACGTTCACGGCGATACCTCATATGCATGGTGGAACCACTGTTTACATACTGGCACAGGGACAACGCTAGCGCACACAGATGTGCGCACAGGGGGGTGGGGGGGGGGAGGTGGCGAGTTTTTTTTTAAGTTTATTTAGATTTTTTTAATTATTATTGCACTGTCTCTTTCATGTTTTTTTTTTATCACTTTTAATGCTATCACAGGGAATGCAAATTTCCCCTATAACTTCAATGGCCATTGGCATATATTCTTTTTTGAGAAATCTGGGGTCTATCAGACTCTAGATCTCTCCTCTGCCCTTACATTGTCTGATCAAACCAAGATCAGTGTGATCAGATGCTTTCCCAATCTACAAATGGTGCTGTTTATATCCTGCAAAACTGAAGTGAAGAAATGCTCATAGCTTCTGATTTCTTATACTGTAGAGATGGTAGGCTCCATTCTGGTCCCCAATCAGCTCTATGGTCAGCTGGCAGAAACACCGGCTGCATTCTCAGGTTCCCCCATGGGCACGGGACTGCCCGAGAAGGCCGTGGAAGGCAGCAGCGGAGGGGGGCTATCATCTCCCACTGCTTGTAAAAGCAATCCTGCAGCTAATTAGCCACTAGGATTGATTTTACATGAAAGCCGATCGCTGGCTAAAAAAATACGATACCAGGATGATGCCTGCAGCTGTAGGTATCATCCTGGTATAACCATTAAAAATCCAGGGATGTACCAGTACATCGCTGGTCCTTGTTGGGTTGCTATGTGCTTTTTTTTTTCTTCTTTTTTTGTATGCAGCTTGTGGGCTGAATTAAAAATAAGAGGAGAAATCTCTGCCAGAAAAATTGTGTGGTATGCCCACCATTAGAATATACCTCCCTGCATCCACCCACTTCTAATGGTGGGCACACATTAGGTCACACGGTGCCACCTGCACCAGTTCCAAGATTGTACAAATGTCTAAATAGTGTCACGCTTGAATAAAAATTGTCCACGTATAAGTGGTACCTAATATGGAAAAAGGATGACACCAAGTCCCAAACTATCTTGCCACTGCTCCCCATGTAGTCTGGGCATCCGGGGGGCTCCACGTAACTATCTTTTCCCTCATAAATCCGAAACTTATAAGTATAGCCTGTTGTCCTCTCACAGGTCTTCTACATCTTGACCCCATTACTGGCACGCTTGCTGGGGAGAAATTGTTTGAATGCAAGGCGGCCAGAAAAATTAATGAGGGACTCATCAACGCAGATTTGTTTGCTGGGGAGTATAGACATCTGCAAATTTTTGGTTAAGGTTATTTGCGAGGGGCTGAATTTTGTGGAGCCGGTCAAATTCAGGGTCACCCCCGAGGACGACAGAGTGTATTGTCATTGAAATGCATAAAACACATTATACTCATTTCTATGCCTGGCCATGGCAGCAGAGAACACGGGCATATGATGAATCGGGTCTGTGGACTAATGCAACCGCAATTCATTTGTTTTAGTAATGCCCATGTTAAGGGTTAGGCCCAAAAAAAAAATTTTAATTTGAAACCGTAATGGGTTTCCATGCGAATGGTCTGGCAAGGTTTGAATTTGGGTTCTGCATATAAATTGATTTGATCCACAATCAATGCATACAGATCTGTGAAAAACACCTCCAAAAATCAAGGGGAGTAGTTAAATTATCTCTTTCCACCTGAATTCCGGGTTGGGCGGTGAATGGGGGAAGTACAGGTGCTGCAGAATTTGTGGGCTACCAATTGGGATTTGCAAGCACATCCGGAAGGATACCAGGGGCTCTACGGGCCTGTGTGCGAATTCTTGGTGGTTGCGGGACAATACTTGTGCTCGCCACCGCACCAGCTTGTACTGCACTTATGGGACTCGCCACGTCACCAAGTCATACTGCAGTGCTGGTATTATTATTATTATAATACAGGATTTATATAGCTCCAACATTTTGTTCAGCGCTTTACAATATAACGGGAGACAATACAGCAACAATACAGTTCAATACAAGAGGGTTAGAAGGGCCTGATCCTGGGAGCTTACAATCTAAGAGGTATTTGAAAGACCTGGATGTACTAGGCCACTAGTGCTTGCCAGTTCACCAAAAGGTAGTGTGGCACTAGTACTGTCACTCTGCTGCATATGAGAGTCATCAAAATTTATCGGCAAGTGCTAACAGAGATCAGGCCTGATTCTGCCAACACTGCGGTTTTTGTGTGCAATATATCAAGAGACAGAGACCTACTGACCCTGCACTTGTTGGGGGAGAAAACCAGGTGCTGGCAGGTGCCGGGGCTGATCCCGCTAAAGCTGTGTTTTTGGGGGGCGCTATACTAATGTGAATGCTGGTATAGTGCTGATCTGATCAAAGATATTGATCCGTTCAGACACTATACTAGCAATGGAGGTTTATTGTGTATGAACATGTTCCTGGCAATCAAGGGGTTAAATGTGATTACTGGTGTACTTGTGGGCAATCTGATGCCATCTGGGAGGGGTGTGAAAACCATGGGAGCGCAATCACGTGTATTATTGGCCGCCCTGCAGCTGTATTTCTACTATAGGGTGGTCAGGAAGTGGTTGCAGAAGCGGTTTGCGTTACGGCGCTGCGTTACTTTAACTGACAATTGTGTGGTCATGCAACGCTGCATCAAAATGAAATTTACGTCCTTTTTTTCAACACGAATTGAGCTTTCTTTCAGTGGAATTTGATCGCCTGTCTTCAGTTTTTATTTTTTTGTGCTATAAAATAAGTCCAATAATTTTGAGAAAAAAAAAACAATATTTTGGACTTTTTACTATATAATATGTCCAGTAAAAAATTTAAAAATAAAAATTCACCCTGAATTTTAGGCCAAAATGTATTCTACGACACCTTGCTTAAAAAAATCTCAACACGTGTAAATTAATTGGTTTACGTGAAAGTTATAGCGTGCACAAATGGCGGTATAGATACTGGATGTTTAATTTTTAGTATAGTGCTGATCTGATCAAAGATATTGATCCGTTCAGACACTATACTAGCAATGGAGGTTTATTGTGAGGAATGAGCGTCTTCCTGGCAATCAAGGGGTTAAATGTGATGACTGGTGTACTGACAGGCAATCTGAAGCCATCTGGGAGGGGCATGAAATCCAGGGGAGTGCAAATCATATATGTGTGAGTTTGCACACCCATGCCACTCTGTACCAGTATTTCTGCTATAGGGTGGTCAGGAAGTGGTTACAGAATCGGTTTTGTATTACATTAACTGACAATTGCGCAGTTATGCAATGCTGCACCAAAATTAAATTTACGCCCTTTTTTCCCTATGAATTGGGCTTTCTTTCGGTGGTATTTCATCGCCTGTGCATTTTCTATTTTTTGTAATATAAAAAAAAAGACCAACAATTTTGAGAAAAAAAACAACAATATTTTGGACTTTTTGCTATAAAACATGTCCAGTAAAAAAAAGTAACAAATCAAATTTTCATCATAAATTTAGTCCAAAATGTATTCTGTGACATGTCTTTGCTAAAAAAAAATCCCAACACGTGTAAATTAATTGGTTTACATGAAAGTTATAGCGTGCACAAATGGCAGTATAGATACTGGATTTTTAATTTTTTTTTAAACTAATAATAGCGGTGATCAGCGACTTATGGCGGCAATCAGCAACTTATGGCGGTGATCAGCAACTTATGGCAGGACTGCGGCGGACATTCTGACACTGGGGGGAACTGACTTGGGGTCACTGATATCCCCAGTGACACCAATACAGTGATCAGTGCAAAAAAAAAAAACCCAACTGACACTGTACTAATGGCACTGGTGAGGAAGGGGTTAACATTTGGAGGCAATCAAAGGGTTAACTGTGTGAGGGGTGTTTTACTAGGGGGCGGGTGTACTTCACTGTTACACACTGATCTGGAAGGCTGTGCCCAGCAATCCAAAACAGTGTGCTGAAAACTGACAGGGAGGAGAACTCCATTGAAAACAATGCAGCCTTCCTCCCCGTAAGTGTTTGCCGGCAATTGTCGGGCTCCGGTGGGTAATCACCGACCGGGACCCAGTGATTGACACCCGCGATCGATCGGTCGCGTGCGAGTGGGACAGTCACGCGCGCACCCCCTACCCCGAAATGCAGGACCACGTTTATATACGTGATCCTGCACACAGGGGCCACCTTGTAGCAGTATATGTACTGCGGGCGCTCCTTAGTGGTTAAAAATTAACACTTACATTAACAAAGGAAACA